CGTCGCTTAGACCCTGAGCGTTTGAAGATTGCAAAGCAGGAGTTTGACGAGATGCTACAAAACGGCACAGCGCGCAGATCCGATAGCCCTTGGTCTTCGCCACTGCATTTAGCTCGCAAGAAGAACGATGGCTGGAGACCTTGCGGTGATTACCGTTTATTGAACGCACGCACAATCCCAGACAGGTACCCCATCAGACACTTGCAGGACTTTACACAACAGCTGGCCGGAAGTACTGTCTACTCAACATTGGATTTGGTCAAAGCCTACAACCAGATACCAGTTTGCGAAACTGACGTATGCAAGACCGCTATCACAACACCATTTGGCTTATATGAGTTCCCGTTCATGGCTTACGGCCTCAGAAATGGCGCTCAAACGTTCCAGCGCTTCATGGACGAGGTTCTCCGGGGATTGGACTTCTGTTTTGGATACTTGGATGATATCCTGGTATACAGCTCCAACAGTACGCAGCATCAGCAACACCTCAGGCAACTTTTTCAAAGACTGACGGAATACGGCGTTCTAATAAACACCAACAAGTGCGTTTTTGGACAGTCTGAGGTCAACTTCCTAGGATTCAAGGTTTCAGCAGCGGGAATCCAGCCAATGGATGCGAAGGTGCAGGCTATTCGGGAATTCCCTCCACCAAAAACCGTCAAGGAACTCAGACGTTTTCTTGGAATGGTAAACTTTTATCGTCGTTTAATACCAAATGCAGCTACCATTCAAGCTGCACTGAACCAAAAGCTCACCGGCCCAAAGACGAAAGGTTCACAACCTATCAACATGACACCCGATCTGTTGGAGGCATTTAATAACTGCAAAAATAGTCTTTCTGAAGCCACACTATTGGTACACCCTGATTCACAAGCAGAGTTGGCGATTCATACAGACGCTTCAAATTCAGCAATAGGGGCAGTCCTGCAGCAATACCAGGACAGCGAATGGAAACCACTGGCATTCTTTTCCAAGAAGCTAAGTCCAAGCCAGAGGAAGTATAGTCCTTATGATCGCGAACTTCTTTCCATATACGAAGCCATCAAACACTTCCGCTTCATGGTCGAAGCACGAAATTTCGCGGTCATAACAGACCACAAGCCACTGACGTTTGCTTTTACAACGCACAGAACTAGCTGCTCACCACGCCAGTTTCGCTACCTTGACTTCATCAGCCAGTTTACTACGGACATCAGATATATTGCCGGAAAAGATAATATAGTCGCTGACACTCTTTCCCGCATTAATGAAATTTCTATGCCCTTAGACTACCAGTCCCTAGCCAGTGAGCAAGACACCGACAGCGAACTACACGATCTGCTGAAAAACGGCTCTGCCCTGAAGTTGGAGAAGCTTAGGATACCGGGACAGGACCTGCAGATATACTGTGACGTCTCCACCCCGAGTCCACGGCCGTTTATCACACCTTCGTTCCGCAGACAGGTATTTAATGCACTACATAACTTGAGTCATCCAGGAGCGAAGGCTACTGTCAAGCTGACGATGCAGAGGTTCATCTGGCCTGGCATTAAGCGGGATTGTAGGCAATGGACAAAGGAGTGCCAGCACTGTCAACGATCCAAGGTAGCTAGGCACACTTCAGCACCGCTCGCATCATTCATACCACCTTCAGCACGCTTTCGACATATACATCTTGACCTGATCGGTCCCTTACCATTATGCTCTGGGTACAGATACTGCCTCACGATTGTCGACCGCTTCACTCGTTGGCCTGAGGCGTACCCACTCCAGGACATGACAGCAGAGACGTGCACCATCGCTCTAACAAATGGATGGATTTCACGCTTCGGATGTCCAGAACACATCACTACAGACCGCGGCAGACAGTTCCTATCGCACACTTTCAAGGAGCTCGCCGCACTGGTCAGTGCAACACACCACACTACCACATCTTATCACCCAGCTGCTAATGGTCTTGTGGAACGACTGCACCGCCAATTAAAATCCGCCATCACTTGCCACGCATCTTCAAACTGGGTTGAAGTTCTACCATGGGTCCTCCTCGGTATCCGCAGCGCCTGGAAAGAGGACTTGCAATCATCGGCAGCAGAGCTAGTCTACGGTGAACCACTCCGTTTACCTGGACAGTTCTTTTCCCCAAATCCCAATACGGAGACGGACCCGACCACCGTGGCTGGTCGACTACGCGCACACGTCAGTAGATTGACCCCACAACCTACGTCTTGGCATGGCAGTTCCAGTCGAATATTTTACGTGCCTAAAGACCTCAGAACTTCGACGCATGTCTTCGTCCGCCAAGGTCCCGCAAGAAGACCACTCGAGGCACCCTACTCAGGTCCCTTCAAAGTCCTGAGACGGGACTCCAAAACATACGACGTAGAAATCCAGGGCAGGACACAAAGGATCTCAATAGACCGCCTGAAGCCAGCGTATGTTGCTAGAGAGACCGCAGAGACCATTCCGCAAAGCCTAAGTGACTATGGCCAACCTACCACCAAAACGACCAGAAGCGGACGCACAGTAAGGTTTCCGGATTACTATCGCCCGTAGTTACGGTCTCAACGAGGGAGTAGTGTGGCGAGTAAATTAGTAGCTAGAACGGACCTAAACATCACGCCACTCCTACGTCATACATCGGACGATATTCTACGTCATTGCTAAGCACCGCCCGCTCATTAGGGCGCATGCGTTCCCATTGGTCGTAGCGCCAGCAGAGTTCGATGGCCGCCTGTGTACCCTATTGTTCTCATCGACGGCGTCATGGGCGGAGTTCAACGGCCGCTTGCGCATGTATTGTGTTCGCTGTGAATACGACCAATCAGTGTGTAGGTTAAGATAAACAACATTCATCGCGATTTTAATTATTGTTAATTATTTTCACCTATATAAGCAATGTTTCCAATGCAATCAGGTACTATTTCGTACTCTTGTCTAACTTGTACTTGCGTGTTAATAAATATAGTTATTAGTGGTCTGCAGTAATTTATTTGCTAATTATAACGGCATATGATCCTACGCCTACGCACTTACAATCCAAATATTATTCTACCCTCCAGTTGTAAAGTTTTATGACTGTACTAGGTGGTAGGGCTATTAGTCTGATTTTCTGTCTGGAAGTCCGTAGTTTAGGAATTGCATACAATAACCAGAAAATACACTATCGAAATGGTAGTTATAAAATATTCTCTGATATATTTGTTTTCAACATTTTCTAAATAGGCTCGGCATTATATTGGTTGCAACGGCAATGCATAGTCATATTTTAGATACCGCTACTGCCCATGGAAATGAAAACTTTGAAAATTGTACAAAAATATAAATCTATATAGGCTAGGTCTTAGAAGTAAACAGAGACGTAGATATTTATATATAAACCACTTGATGTAATGCCACTACTTATAGCGATATCCCGGGAAAAATAAAATAAAGGTTACCTACTTAGAAAGAGAGGGTATGCCCACAGAGATCGAGATAGTAATACATAGGTTAAGCTTCAAGTAGGTATTAGGTGTGTGGTCTCCATCTTTATCTATAACTTCATGTCTTGAGCGCACTATATTATCTGAGAGTAAGGCCAAAGAGTAAAATTATTCGAGGGTTAGTTACTCTGGTGTAACATGGTGTTTGGTTGAATCCAACCTTATTACCATATTTTTTACACGCTTAAACAACCGTGAAATAATAGTATGGTATTTTTTAATGTAAGTTTAGCTTTAGCTCAATTTTCGCCGTTTTGATAAAACGGTTAATGACGTCACTACCAGTGTTGTTATTTAAATATTCTAATTTTCATAATGCTAACTTCCAACTAAATTATATTTATGACTAACGAAAATAAAATAGTAATATGAAAAAACGCAGAAACAAAAAAAATATATTTATTTGTAATTTTATAAACAGTAATTTTAATTGTATGAGCTAGATCAGAACTTCCATCGTGAAAATATTTATTCATGCTCGCAATCATACAGGGACACACTACTACTTAAAAGCTCGTTTCGGACTTTATGTCAATGGAACAGAGTTACATAAAAATTATACGATTTTGTGTATTAAACGTCAGCACATGTGAACTATTAAAGAAAACGACAAAACAAACGCTTCGATGTTGATATAAGCCTCAAGTTATTTTGATCGATTAGGTACCTTATGAACTTGGGTAACTGTCATCATCGAATATTCGAGTTCACAATGTTGATTATGAAGAAAACAAATCTGTAAAAACGAAGATCCAAATAAAATGTAGACGTGGCTTAAAAGACAATCATCCAAGCAAAAAATCTTAATAAAAACATATTGACATTGACAATATTAACTTTTTGACAACCTGTACAATAAAAATTTATGAAACAAAAATTTAATAAATTTTATAGAAATTATTATGAAGAAGAAGTACATACGCACAGTCTTTAAAATATTAAACTGTAAACGTAGTAATATTAATTAAACTCCGAAACTGAAAGAATTTAGTGTGTTGACCACAGGTGTTAACCAAAGTTTACAAAATATTATAAAAATTTACGCGTTTCTTTTGTCGTTAATTACTTTCCTAATATAATAAAGTTTTTGAAACTACTACAAACTGAAGCTTTAACTGCCGTCACCGCAAAAAATAACATAGATATAAGAAAAAGTAGATGTATCTGCCTCTTTACAATGTATCAGAAAAGAGATGTCTGGTTAGAATGTCTGTGTCCAAACTCGGATTTCTTACAGTATTACTACCTTTACTTGCCTTCATTATTTGCATCATAATGACTATGTATAAAGACTTTGAAAGAGCCAATAATACACATTGTAATGTGCCTAATATATTTCCATCTATATCAGCATCTATTGGAAATTATGAGCCACAAAAAAGCATTTGGAAAACTGCTATTTACGTCCATTTTCCATTAAGATGTTTTATTATTTATTTACGATGGAAATATTACCAAGACATTATTTTAGAAAATTGTATTATAATTGTAAATTTAGCAGTATTATTAAATATTGCAGAAAATTTATCACTATTAGGTTTGACATATTGGACATCTTCATATAATTACCGTAAGTACTTTATGTTTATTTAATATTTAGGGCAGATTTTATAAAGTAAGGCAAAAACTTGTATATAGGTATGTTTAATTTATTTCGGAATTAGGCTAGAGCTTGTCAAGTTGAAATAATGCACCCCACTACTTAACTAGTTGGTTTAAATGTGTGAATGCAAAAATGGTTAAGTTTTCCATTGACATCCGTCATGTTGGGGGTTGATATTTTTTACAGAAAGGTTACATTATTATAAGCATACACATAAAGTTTCAACAGACCCATAATTTCTGAGACAGAAGTTATTGAAAATCAATTATTTTTTCAATATTTATGTCAATCCCTACCACAGATTATATTACAAATATATCTCGCCATTTAATGTTCCATTTTACGTATGGTTAAGTTGTCATACGGTAACATTTTATTTTATGTAAATTTACGTAAATAATTATATTTTTACTCATTTTAATATTTTTCATACTTACATGCACATATACATACATAGCATAATACATAAACACTCACGCCTGTCACCCAGAGGGGTAGGCAGATACTACAGACTTCAATTTGGCACGATCCTGACACACCTCTCTCGCCTCCTTCACATCCATACACCTACGCATACATGCTCGTCGGTTAAGGGTACTCCTAATTTGGCCCGTTTTCAATAAATCGCCAATTTGGTCGATAAATTTTCGCCTAGGACGTCCCTTTCCGACTCTGCCATTCACTTCTGCAACATAAATTTTCTTTGTTACTCTTTCCACATGATCAAACCACCGAAGCATTCCTTTCTTAATCCTGGTCACAACATCATCTTGCAAACCACACTCTTCTCTTATTACACAATTTCTTACCCTGTCGTTCAAATTCAACCCTAACATACTTCTTAACGACCGCATTTCTACTGCGTTGATTCTACTCTCGTGCTTCTTCTGCCACACCCAACTTTCACTACCATGCGTTAAAGTAGGGACCAACACAGCATTGTGAATTGCCATACGTGCCTTTTTTGACACATTTTGACTCTTCACAATAAAGTGCAAGGCACCATTTATTCTATTTCCCGCATTCACTCGTCGTTCTATATCCTTATCATATCTCCCATCCCTGCTAAATACGCAGCCCAAATATACAAACTCATCTACTTGCTCGATCAACTCCCCTTCTATTCTTATTTCACAAATCGTTTTACTTTCTTCTCTTTCAAAAACCATAACCTTCGTCTTACTTGCATTCACTTTCATACCCCTTTCTTTTAATGATCTGTTCATTAATGTAACCATCATTTGCAACTCGGCCGCCGACGACGCAAGGATAACTTGATCATCGGCATACAAAAGGCATTTGACGGTTATTATTCTTAATCCGCATTCTTCAACTTTCAAATTTTGCAAACAACTGTCCATAAATAGGTTGAACAGCCACGGGGAAGCCACACAGCCCTGTCTGACACCTTTATGGATGTCAAACCAGTCCGAGTAGACCCCGTTGATCCTAACACAAGCAATAGAGTCCCTATAAAGAGACTCCAATGCCTGTATCAAGCCAGCGCTCAACCCAAATGAGTTCAGTGTTTGCCATAGCACATCCCTATCCACTCTGTCATAGGCCTTTTCCAAGTCCATGAATGCACAAAAAACTTTTGGTTTTTGGCCAAAAACTTCTCCACAATCATGCGCATGAAAAAGACTTGATCTGTACATCCCATTCCCTTTCTAAATCCCGCTTGCACATCCCAAATTTTTTCATCAGTTTCTTTCATGACCCTTTCAATCAGTACCTTAGCATACAGTTTTCCCACAATGCTAAGAAGGCTGATGCCACGGTAGTTTTTACAGTCCTGCTGCGACCCTTTTCCTTTATATAGAGGAACTATCACCGCATTGCACCAGTCTACCGGTACCCGCTTCAGTTCCCAGCATAAATTAAACAAGGTGTGCAGCAGGCCTGCCAAGACTTCCTCTCCAGCCCTCAGCATTTCGAGTGAAACTCTATCATATCCGGCAGCCTTACCTGCTTTCATGCTTTTCATTGCTTTCATTATTTCATCTATACTTATCTCGCTACCTCTTTCCTCTTCTTTCGGAATTTCTACTTCACTTAGTATACACATTGTCTCCTCACTCATAAACACACTTTCAAAATATTCCTTCCATCTCTTTAAACTCAAAAGTTCATCATTCAGAATATAGCCATTCTCGTCTCTTATAGCATTCATCATAGGCTGTTTTGAATGTCCCCTGGCAGTTGTTACAAGTTTCCAGATTATTTTATTATTTCCCTGGAAGTTATCCGATATTCTTCTATCATTCTTATCTGTTCTTTCTTGCTTTTTTCTCTCAACTACTTCTTTTACTCTCTTATTAAGATGTCTAAAGACTGCCTTTTTTCTTTCTATATCATCATTCGTACCGCTAGAATTACCACCCTTTGTTGCTAGTAAATCTAGCCATGCTCTCTTCTTTGCTTCAACTTCCATAAGTATCTCATCATCCAACCATATCATATTATTTTTCCTTTCATTCTTTCTCTTACTAACACCAAATACTTCGGTAGCTGCATCCACTAAACCTTTCTTTACGTTTTGCCATACATTCTCCAAGCCTAACTCCTTCATACATAATTCATCCAAACCACTTATATTTTCTTTCAGTCTACATTTGAACTTGTTTTTCTCACCTTCATCTTGTAACCTTTCTGTTCTAATACGCTGTAACGCAGTGGTAGACACAGATGATCGATGGCGCCAACGCCTGAATAGACCATTAATTTGGCATAAAACCAAATAATGATCCATTCCTACGTTAGAACCCCGGTAAACCTTTGTATCTACCACTGCGCCCCTCAATCTTTCATCTACAATTATGAAATCTATCATGCTTCTATCGTCACCTCTTTCCCAAGTATACATGTGAATCCTCTTGTGGCGAAAGCGAGTGTTCGTCACAAAAAGATTCTTTTCCATACATACGGTGAGGAGATTTTCACCATTCTCATTTATACTTTCATCACCAAACGTTCCCAATATCCTTTCATAACCAAGCCTCCTCACCCCAACCCTTCCATTAAAATCTCCTAGCATAATAATATTTTCATTTCCCTTACACTTCATTAACACCATCCTTACCATTTCCCAAAACTGCTCTCGGATATAAGTGAGCTTAGACATGTCTGGGGCGTAGACCCCTAACACAAACAACTTCTTTAAGCCCACTTTCATTCGTATCCATAGCAGTCTTGGGCTTACACATTCATACTCTTTCACACATTGGCCCATTCTTTCTGAAAGGATGATACCTACTCCCTGGCATGCCCGCTCGATCTCGTCTACACCAGACCAGTGTGCGGTATACATGCCATGTGTAGTGACATCCTTCCCCTTCCTTTTCGTCTCATTTACACATAACACATCTATTCCTCTATCATACATCATACCGCATACTTGATCCATTTTATCATTCATTGCCCCACATACATTCAACATAGCCAGACGGGCCTCTGCAATCCACTTTTCGCCTCTCCGGGAGACAGAACGTGACGGGTGGCGAACCTAGTCGCCGGTTTTCGTCCCGGACATTCTTCGCACCCCTGCCCCATTAAAGGGGCGCCGGGAACTCGGGGCCATTTCTTTTATATGGTTCCTCATGGTGCGAAATATAGGGTAGTATATTTTACGCCGCTACCACGGCGTGGAGCCGAGTCTGTGGTATCGGCTTGTCGCTCATTTAGCACCACCCGGGGGGACACGTGTAGGGTGGGCCTAGGAATAAGTGGTCAAAGCCTACGGACGCGAGCGACTTATCCCCCCATATGCACATATACTTAACAGTTTATATTTAAATTACACAATTATTTTCAATATGAGCTATTAAAATAAAAATATGGTGTTTATGGTCTTTTGCCGGCTTGTGGAACGAAATGTAAAACTGACGCTATTTTGTATTGTCAGTTGTCACTGTCATTGTCAGTCATTGTTTGTGTCCCTAGCAGTTGAGAGTGTTTATGTACTCTTGTTGGTGAAAACAACATTTAACTATCACCATGGCGTCTCTGAAGCCCCAAGTTTCGTGTTTTGCTGTGCTGTCTGAAGAATCCAGTGTAGTGCAAGTGTTAGAATCTAATGAACCACTTGTTGCGAGCTCTTCTTCAGGCTCCCTGTGTGGTGAAGTGACTTCTGTAGAATCGAGTGTAGTGAAAGTGTTGGACTCTGATGAGCCACTTGTCGCAAGCTATTCTGCAGGCCCCCTGTGAGTGCAAGTGTTGGACTCTAGTGAGCCACTTGTGACTATGCCATTGAAACCAAATAGCTGGTAGTTCATGCGAAACTTTTCCCAGTATCGTGTCGGTACTGCCGCCTGCTTCTCCGACATCGTTTGAAAGCAGCATGGGTGATGCGGAACCTCAAGCTCCTGGTTCGTCTGGCCAAAGAGCCCACTACTATACTGAGGAAATAAGGTTGGTTCATTGTGTTTTCTTATATAGCCACATATGTAAACTTCACAGAAAAAGCTGACGAGTTAAGCAGTAATAATAACTAATAAAAAGTAGTAATAACTGATCAGCTTGGCATATTCTGATGCAGGAAGAGCAACTGTCGCTCTAGGGCAGTGAGTCAGGCAATGGGAACATGGTTCGAGAGTGCGCGGCTGTCTATCGAGTTACAATTTTTACTGTTGTATATATTTATCCATAAGTATAGTTACGTTCAAGTAAAATTAGAGACAGCCCGTGAAGATAAAGAAACTGTTTTCTTACTGCCGGGAAACAGTATTTGTTTATGAATTGGAGCACCAAGAAGTTAACAGCAAGATTGGTGGTCCAGGCAATATTGTGCAAATAGATGAATCAAAATTTAAAAAAACAAAGTACAACAGAAAGAGACACATTGAAGGCGATGGGGTGCTGGGCATGATAGAAAATGGGAAAGATGATTTGAGATTAGTAGTGTGTCCCAATAATGATAGATCAATCAAAATGTTGGTGCCACTATTACAAAAGCATGTGGAGGTAGGCACTGAAATCTATACCGATTTTTGGAGAGCCTATGATTGCTTACCTCAATATGGAATACATACATAATAAGGTTAATCACAGCTACCCTATAAATAAATTTGTGGCACCAGACGGGACACACACAAAGAATAGAAACCCACTGGCGAAATTTAAAAGTGATGTTCTGTAGCTATAATTATAAAGCAAACTTCACAGACTGGCTAATTGAATATTGTTGGCAAATAAAAATAGCGCATAAAGATGTTTTCGAAGAATTAATAAAAGCAATGCCATATGTATATAAAATTGGTTAATAAATTATTAATTATATTTGATTTGTTTTATTTTAACAGTACCTATTAGGGCAGATAACAAATAAAATAGTTTAGGTTTAACTTATGTCAAAAAATTGAATTGATTGACCCCGACTCCACTTGGTACGAGTCTGTCCTACACCTAGAGTATTTTATAAAGCCCGAGGTGCGTAGGGAGAACAGCCTCCGCCTGCTGTAACAAATCGTAGGCATCGGACGAGCAGGAGCGTGTGAGGCTAGTTGCTAAAGGTGACCAACAAGCCAAAGCTGCGGAGACGAGGATGGATGCCTGCGATTTTTTACGCAAAGGCATAGAAGCTGCTCTTCCCGCATCGCCGGAGACTTTGTAGTCTCAAAATAGATACAGAAATCCCTCCGAATCAGTCCCCCTATTTTTTTTCTGATGAAAGGGGTTCCCCCTTCCGTAGATGGACCCCCCCCCTCAAGGGGTTCGCCTGGTTTTTTACACTTAATATTAATCCATAAAATGAGGAAAAGTTTCTCAGAATTACGAATAAAAATACTAGAAAAGGGGGGTTTCGCAACTTTTCCTTTTAAGGGAGGGGTATTACGTCGTATATATATATATATATATATATATATATATATATATATCATTTCTTCTTCATCGCGCTCATCGCTTCTACTTTTGTAACTGAATGATCAATTACAATGGCATTTTTATGTTTATTGCGTCCGTATTTAAAACTTGCGTGTGTACATAAATGCGGTAGTGGGGTGTGTCATTTCAGCTTTGACAAGCTCTACGAAGCTATCAGTGTGCCTATACCTATGACAGAATATTGTTGATTGTTTTAATTATAGATTGTACATTCTGTGCACTATGTTGCTTATTATATGTGTGTACTATGACACTTCACATGGACTGCTTTTTCTTTAATCTTTTTCAATCTTGGCCCATCTATTCTTAAAGCTGTTTACTAAAGAAGTATCAACAATGTTCTTTCCACAATTAAGCTCATTCCACAAATAAGCACATGATTATTCAGTCCATGGTACACAACATTGGTGTGTGAAGGGATAAGTCTCAGGGCCTGTGCATTTGGTAAAAGTTGTGCAGTTGGACAAAGCAACAAAGGATATATTTATGGCTTACAGAAAACTACCATGAAATATTACAGAAAGAGAGATTTCAGATGTAGTCATGGTAACACTTCTAAAACTTAATTAGGTGACTATACAGGGTGATTCTGCAATGTACTCTCAAATTTGCAGAGAAGTTTCAGAATAAGTAATAGGTATAGGCGAATGATGAAAAAAAATTAATAATAAACTCAAACATTCTTTGCTTTTTATCTTTTAAATTCGGAATGCGTGGTAATGCATTATTTTACCTGATTTTTATTCAGAAATATCTAATTTTAGGTGTAATAGAGTCCAAATTTTAATAAAAATAACTATGACTTCTGTTAACTTTGTCAAAAATAAGAAAGCACCTCTTACTACTTGTATGTAATATATATATTACAGCAAGTTCAAATTATAATTTTTTACAAATTTAAATTATATGATGTAGATTATTTGTGATGGTGTTGACTACCCAATTAAACTACTATTTGTAAACTTGTATTAATTTTAAAGTGTAATAATTTGTTTTATTACAGCATATCATGAAATATTCTTCAAAACATTTATTGGAACATCAATATTTTATATGCTACTAACATGCATATTGTTAACACAGTACCGTAGAAAGCCTCACATGTCACATTTGGAGAGGAGCTCTGTCAAGTTAAAATGGCGAGCATTTTTTATTAATGTTGTATCATTTGCAATTGCAGCTTACTTCTTCCTAAGGCACAACAGCCTTTGTGAGCCATATGGTAAGCAAAACATAAAAATAAAATTGGAATTTGTTAGAACTTGTTATATTTATAATTGGTGAAATTGGTAGAATCTATCTATATATTTTTTCTATAGGATAGGGTGACAAACCAGCACACAGTCCCCCTGATTGTAAGTGGTTGCTGCGGCCCATAGACATCTACATCTGTCCTCGATTACAAATCAAAATGCAGATGCTTTGTCACCCGTGAGGACTAAGATAGAATGCCTCATTTCCAGTAAAAAGCGTCCCCGGTTCTCTACACTCACCATACGAAACACAGCAGCATTAAGCTACTATTTCACGCTGGTATTCCGTGAGAGTGTGGTCATACCCCGGTCGAGCCGACCCATTCATTCTACAACTATACTTAAATGATAATATAATTCAATATTTATTTAATATTTGATTGTTTGTTACCATTTACAGCCCATCAAAGTACACTGCTGAACAAAGGCCTCCCCCATTGATTGTCTGATAGGGAGCTCCATTGCCATAGTTCCCATGCTGGCAGGCAGGTTGGCAACCACAGTTTTATTATTAGGAAGATGCTCCTGATTCCCGGTTAGATTCCCTATATGCTACCATTGACCATCCATATTTAGTAAATTTATATTTCGTCGTACCGGTTTCCCAACCAAGCCAACAGTTTTAGAAACATCCTACTGACAGGAACTCAATTTAGGCTTACAATTTAACATTGTGGCGCGTTTCGGCTGAAATGTAGGACTTAAAAAAGTTCATTTCTTATATCGTTTTTCATATGTAAGCCTGTTAATGCTGGTGTTCCACAAGGCTGCGTGCTATCGCCAACGCTGTTTCTTCTGCATATCAATGATATGATGCAAACCCGTAACGTTCATTGCTATGCAGATGACAGCACTGGTGATGCTCTTTACACCGGCCGTGCCAATATTTCTCGGGAAAACGTCTCCGAGTGCCGGGACAAACTTGTGTCTGAAGTCGAGTCTTTGCTGAACGGAGTCTCGGATTGGGGGCGACTAAATCTAGTCCAGTTTAACCTCCAGAAGACACAAGTTTGCGCGTTAACCGCTAAAAAGAACCCCTTTGTCGTATCTCCTCAGTTTCAAGGCACTCCCCCTTGTTGCCTCAGCCAGTATCGGAATCCTTGGCGTCGACATATCGAGTGACGTGCAGTTTCGTGGTCACTTGGAAGAGAAGGCCAAATTGGCCTCTAAAAAGCTTGGCGTGCTCAGCAGAGCGGGGCAGTATTTCATGCCGGCACACCGCCTGCAAGGCGCAGGCGCAACAAGGCGCAGGTTCGGCCGCATATGGAATACTGTTCCCATCTCTGGGCTGGGGCTCCCCAGTACCAGCTCCTTCCACTTGACCGCATCCAGCGCAGAGCGGCTCGAATCGTCGACTACCGAGTGCTTTCGGATCGGCTCGATTCACTGGCACTGCGAAGAGATGTTGCATCTCTTTGCATTTTCTTTCGCATATACCATGGAGAGTGCTCTGAGGAATTGTTCGGATTAATCCCAGCCGCCAAATTTCGTGAATGCACTACGCGGCAAACGTCCCGATACCATCCACACCTGGATGCTTGGCGGTCCACCACTGTACGTTTCAAGAGTTTTCTTCCGCGTACAACCTCTCTGTGGAATAGTTTACCATCAGCGATTTTTCCGGACCGATACGACCTGGGGACCTTCAAGAAAAGAGCGTACTCCTTTCTAAAGGGCCGGCAACGCACCTGCAATTCCCCTGGTGTTGCGGTTGATCATGGGCGGCGGTAGTCACTTAACATCAGATGAGCCGCATGCTCGTTTGCCCCCTCTTCTATAAAAAAAATGTTTTGTCAGGCATTCATCATCTTATAGCCTTAGTAAGGTATTTACGCGGCCCCCTTACTTGCGACCCTATGAAAAAACGATGGGCTGTTTATCCATCAATAGCTGGCAAACAAATTTGCTCGGGAATCACAAATTTTAAGTTTACGCGTTTATGTGTTAAGTTTTCGTACTGTATAAGGCTGTGAACTCACGTCGTGATATTTACTTACGCCCTCAACGGCAGAGGAACTGCGATTTTATTTCAAAACTCACGAGACCACAGTTTTGTGTGTATTCCTGTAACTTGGCGGGAGATGACCACAAGTCGGGCGGCCGCAACACTATTGATTGTCAACAAAGGCCACACCGCTATGCACCAGCGTCCCCTGTAGTTTACATCTGCAAATCGCACAAACATCGCAACATAGTAAATAATTAAACGGCAGCCGCAAATAACCGCAAGCGCTGCGGGCAATGAAATTTCTGTCATATCCAGATTTCTTATATTATGAAACTAAACTGAATCTTCTTTAATTATTACTCAACTTAGCTTTGAAATGTCAACTCTTGCTTTCTTTTGGGCATCTGTTAACATTCGAGGAACCTAGCGCGCGGCCTTGAATTGAATTTTAAGGTATGAGTTAAAATAAACTGAATTGTCCCTAACGAAACCTTTAGGATCTCAACTAAATAACGGATATACGTCGATAACGGTCATACGTCGAGCTACCTTAACAATTTCTTCGATTTTTTCAACGTTTTCTTGAGTAGCGACCGTTGTTGGCCGCCCGGAGCGTGTGTCATTATAGCAGGCGGTTCTGCTGCGTTTAAATTCAGCGCACCAGTATGCCACTGTAGAATAAGACGGAGCATTGTCTGCCAAAGTAGACTATAGTTCTTCAAAAACACTGTAGAAAAAGATCAGGCAGAAATATTTAATAACCGCACGAAGTTCAAATTTATCCATTTTGCATACTGTTACGAGCTTGAGGTTCGTGACAATAAAAGTTGCCGATAAAATTACCTAAATTAACACTTTAATTTACTTTACACAAATTAAAACTAAAAACACTAATAATTAAACACACTAATTCACTTAATTCCGCTCCGAAGCTTCGCTTGTGTCGCCGAGTTCAACTCTGCCCGATCGCATCTTGCAGCGCCTACTTATATAAATTAGCAAAATATCCAGAATGTTCAAGTAAACACGCGCAAGGTACCGAGAGTTCGAGTTTTAAACTTCAAGAAGTTTAGTTCTTCGGTTCGAGACTAGATGGCGCTAGTGCGCCGATTTTAGCGCGTAACACTGCCCCCTCCTAAGACATGCTCGTCCCGACCATTATCGGTCCCATAATACCGCGCTAGGCGATCCACATGGACGATCTTAGGAGTCCCTCTTGCGCCTTTCTGTAACGGCTCCGCAATGTCAAGGGCTGTTCTATCCCGTGGTGCACCAACATTGTACAATTTCGGTGCTCCTCTACTACGTGTCTGAGGTCCCCGCACGGCCGCACAACTTGTACATGTACGACACCAATCCTCGACATCGTCACGATAATGGACCCAGTAAAACTGTTCTCGGACCTTCAGTAGAGTTCGTTTAACTCCCAGATGGACTCTTGAACGACCTTTATGGCACAGCTGTAGAACATTCGGCACTTTAGCTTTAGGGACAACCATTTGCAAACGACAGCTGTCTCCTCGACCATTGTCCCATTTGCGGCACAGGACTCCATCCTGAAGCAGCAAGCTGTCCCATTGGGCCCAATAGCTTTTCGTGGTTGAACTCATCGCTGAGACGTCCTTCCACTTAGGCTTGGTAGCACGGGCCTTCATCCATCCCAGAATCGGCTTGATGTCCGGATCTTCCTGCTGTGCATGCCGTAGGCTGTCCTTCCACCCGTTGCTGAGGTGGTCTGTTCTGAGCATCCTCACGGATACCACTTCCTTTCCTTGCCTACTACAATGGTTGCCATCTTCAGGACAAGGTCTTCTTGACAATGCATCTGTGTTGCCGTGAGATTTTCCGCTGCAGTGTCTGATAGTAAAGTCGTATTCCTGCTGCTGCTGGGCGGTGCTGTTAGCCGCACTTCCTTTCTGAGACCGTTCACCTTCCCTTCCTAGGGTGTGCTTCGGGCAGCTGGACCGAAGATGGCCACTTTCCCCACAGCCATAGCACCTAGGGCTGTATCTTCTATTGTGGTCGCGAACCGTAACTGCTGCAACCTCCCTAGCGTGAGGTGAACGACGATCCTGTCGCCGCCAGGCAGTGCCGTTAGCTGCACTACCCTCCTGATATCGTTCACTTTCCCTTTTTACGGTTCGCTTAGGGCAGCTGGATCGAAGATGGCCCTTTTCCCCACAGCCATAGCACCTTGGGCTGTATCCTTTGTTGCGGTCGCAAACTGTAGCTGCTGCAACCTCCCTGACGCGATGGGAACGATGATCCTGCCGCACGGCTTCCACTTCCAGTGCATGGGCCAAGGCGTCCTTAAGCGTCTCGTGGTGCCCGAGCCTCACAGCAGCTCTGACTTCCAGGTCGCGGATGCCGTCGATGAATGTCTGCACCAGGTTCCCTTCAATGAGCGCAGGTACAGACTGGTATGCTTTTCGCACCAGCTTCTCCACTTCTAGAGCCCACTGCTGCAGGTTTTCGTTGATGCGCTGCACACGATCTTTAAGCTGCGCACGAAAGACGTGTTCCAGGTGAGCGTCACCATATCTCGCCTCCAATGCCTCAAGGAGTTGCTCATAAGTCACTTCCTCACCGAGAGCTTCCAGAACTGTTAAGGCCTGGTCGCGCAGGCCTAGTGTGAGAGCAGTCATGGCCTGACTTTTATTCCAGCCGTTCACCTTCATAACAGCCTCGAACTGGATTTTGTAGGCTGACCACGAAGTCCCGTCGAACGGTGGCACTTTGAACCCACGTAGCGAAGGTGTAGTAGCTACTACGGGAGCTGTAGTTCCATCACCCAGTTTGAGGTCGTCCAGCGTTTTCTTCACGTCAGCCACCACGTAATCAACCCGATTGTTCACTTGGTCGATTTGGGTTTTAGCTTCCTTGATTTGGGTTTCAGCTTCCGACAGGCGGTTGTCATGTTGAGCAACCTTATCCTTCACCTCCTTTATCTCTTTCCCAAAGGTAGCATGAAGGTCCTTAATGAGGAGCATCTGCTCTTCCGACCGACGGGCCTGTTCCTCC